CCATTCTACTCTAGTACGCAGCGTTAGTTTCAAGGCGAAATTAACATGCATACACACGTGTCCTCGGAACTAGTATGTTAATAGGCGATAGATATACATATATACGTATAATTAGCAAAATGGTAGCATACGTTGTTCGAACGTTGAATGTTATAGATAATGTTATGAAGACAAAAACTATACAACTAATTACTCAGGTACAGAAACAGTTTGGTACATTAAATTTTCTGTCCACATACAAACGGACGCCGAATGTAAACATATGACTTTTTAGTCTGGTGCAAGCGTGCTCTCAAGCAACAAATAAGGAAAGTTTCATTGATCGACTCCTATAAAGTATGAGATAGTAAGGTGTTTTCTAATAATTTCGTCACCCTGACTAAGTTCGAATTAAGGGTGTTTGTGTGGGGTAGTTTCATTCATTTTGATCTAGACTAAATGTAGCACAAAAGCAGCCTCATGAGACAACAACTATACCGTGCTTGCGGATTCTCGTTTTCGAACTTATCCACATAATTTTTTTTATCGTTCGATTCTACAGTTGCTCGTCTTTGCAATAAAAACCGATATTGTTCCATTTGCATACAGTCTACCAAATGGTTGTCCTCTTTTTTTGCCAGGTGGGGGATCTGCTCATCGAGAAATCTTCTCATCGTTGACAAGAGCCACTAACAAATCTATGCAAGCACCAAATTCATCTTGAATATCTTGCATCGTTTGACAGAATTACATCACTTGCTGCACATTAACAGTCAGACTAGAGACCCAGAATAAATGTCCGTATGCCAGGAGACGAAATGCTTCATACACACAGAGCCGCTGTTACTGCGCTGCCAGTGCAAAAAGAGAGGCAATTCCAGCGATTCGCCTAGATAGAACACGGATGTTGGGCCGATTTGTGCTGTTCAACGAAGTTCCAAGCCAATGGGCTGTCTAGAATAATATATGAATGACCCCAAAAGGTACGGAACAAGATGATCGTTCTTGTTTCTCACGTGATTTAGCAATACGTGCGGGTAAAGCCCGCGTACTAGCTACCGACTAGTACTATTCAATTTCATTGAATTACGAATCAATTACATTACAAACATATGATATATGATACAAATAATGATCATTGGGTGTTGTTCTCTGAGATAGAAGACAGAACGGAAAATAGAATTTCTTATTAGAAGAATAGACTGATTTTCCATGAGGCTTCTTTGACAGCAGAAGTCACACGCATCTGTAGATTCCTTTGAGTCAAAGTTCCGTCAAGATACAATAGTTGTAATATCAAACAAGTAGTAATCAAGAAGCATGTCTCTCTTCACATGCTCATATCAAGACCTTACGAAAAAGATTTCAGTACTCGTAGGGCCTCCAAACTCTGACCGAAGCACTCGAACTAACGCGTTGAACACATGACGGGTTTAGATACGTACTTACAATTTCAGTTAGCTGATTTACGCACAAGTCGACACGTAATAACAATGTAATATCGTGCTAGTTATTATATACGTTTATAGTTACTGTTACAGCTTTTAACAGTCATATGTTAATTAATATCGAAAAACGTACAATTTCATAAACAAGCACATAAAGCGTTCGGCACTTGATAAATACGCTCGGGTTCCGTAAATGTCAAGATAGACCACGCCCGAAGGCATAAAAACCTCGTCCTGCAAGAATATTTCGCTCGTCTTTACTACTCCTTTCCTTTGTCGTGGTCGTACTCATCTCTACGACAATGACTAACGCTGTTACGAATGTTGCTAATTAAGTTTTGCAGCGGTAATACAGCGTCTTCATTGTTGTGGTGACAGCTCTCTCTCTTTCTATATATATCCACATAGATGCAACAGAAGGCCGGCTACACATATTTGTATATATAGCCCCCCTTCTGTTGCATTCTTAGAACTCGTTCAGGAACAGATGTCACATTTCGAAACAGTTATCAGAGGGTAAAAAAAAGATGATTTTGCCGCTGGTCTAGATCTAAAGCGTTAGCTTACTCTTATACATGTGTCTCATAGGCCTGAGACGAATAAGTAACAACAAACTGCCCGCCCGTTACCCGCAAAGTTGACCCGCGTCTGACTATTGATTTGGATTCAGTGGAAACGGAACGATAGAAAAGAGGTGCAAGCACTTCGCCTAAAATTAATATAGAAGGACAACACAGGAAGTGATGTCTTTAAAGGGCAATTAAGTGGTACATGTACCATTTGACTTTTCGCTCTGACATGCCCCACACGCTTCTATAGTGCCTCGAATTAGTCTGTTGTACTATATCTGTCATTGTGCTGAGGACTCTAACGTATTTTTAACGAAATTCTAGTGTAATGCATGAAGATATAGATGTTAAAAAACGATGTTTTTCTAATCAAGAGCATATTCTACTTCAACAAGTTTACACTTTGATAACTTACTAGAAGTTTTATTTATTTATTACACGCAATATCTGCGATTCGCTTTTCGGAACAAGAAGCCATTTCGAAATAGGGACGATTTCCTTCTGCGTTCATGTTATGTTTAATATAATGAGTCTCTAAAATACATCAAGAGCAAGTGCTTGGCCTGACTGAGAGCCTTGAGTGCACACAGCACAACCTTAATATCCATATTAAAGGCTGGTAGTCGGGAAATTAAATTAAGCGATTTGATTGCAAATGTACACAAACGGTAAGAAACAATGTAATCATTTCTGGATTGGTATTTTCGTTTAAAGAAATATTTAGTAGGGGCACCAAAGGGATTCGAGAGAGTTCATAGTTGGCTATGTACAAAAACGTTTGCCCATGTGACGCGTTGTATCATTCTATACTGTATATATAGGGGCACTGCGCGTGTAGCGATTAGTCGAACAAAATGTTTTTACCTGACTCATATGATATTTTGATCTACGTAACCGTTAACTGAAGTTAAATATAATTTTCTTCTGCCGCTTCTATTACCTTGAACTGAGCATTGAAATATTATATATATAACCTAAATATCTTAGCGTTATATAGCAATTAATTTAAACATTGAGACGCTTCTCGGACATACACAGTTTACTTAAGTGGCAGCCGTTATTGAATAACTGGCGATGCTTTCTGAACATTGGCTTTTGTTTTTGTCGTCATCAATTAGATTTTTCCCAAAATTTCAATAGTCGGCTTCTTTATTGGCATCATTCGTGTAAGTTGACAATAGCAAGATTATCGTATAATTTCTCCCAATAGACAGAGGCCCTTTTACGTCTCTGAAGCTGAACAAATGATCGTTCTAGCTACACTCCTAGCCGCGAGGGACTGTCCTCCAGCGACCGCATCAAGATAATCTCATCTAGTAAACGAGTCTTCCCTCTTTCGTAGTCCCTATTTCGAAAGGAGCAAGTTGAATGGAAAGAACTATTATTTTCGCCCCTTCCTGCAGCGTAATAGCAAGATTTTTTCTGACGAATAGAATTTCATCGCACGTAATACTTTTTCCCTTATCCTGGAATATATTCAAATACTGCCTAATGGAACATTCCAAGGTTATCGACACTTTCGTACAAGGCAAAGTGTCCTCCAACTCCTGTCTTTTAATTTAGTCAATAGTAACAATTCATTTCTATGTCTACCTAACCGCAAGATCAGATCTTTCAGTCGATCTTTCCCTGACTGCCTCCATGTACTCCCACTACATGAGTGAAAGAGCATACAGATATTGATACTAACTAGAGAATGTCGAGAAATAGATCTTGAGCCTTGCATTTGTATTTGTTCATTCAGTTTGCAGCTGGGGGACGACAGGATTTCTGATTAGTCCTTTGTTCACTGTCGACACATAGATAGCTGGTCATTGGAGGAAGCCATTGAAAGTTTAGCGACATGCACTGCGACCCAGCACCGAGCGTCAGGAATTGATCCTGTAGTCGCGCCTCTTTATTTCTACCTGTATTCTACCTCTGTATTTCTGTCTATATTCCATTCCTACATGTATATGTAACTATAGTACGATCCAGAATTAGCTAAGCTACGCAACAATTTTGCGTAAACAGTTCTACTGTTTCAACGAAGTAGCGAAGCCAGTGATCAGGCGCACTATCATAGCACTGTAATGAGGCTGAGATAGGAAAAGGTCGCCTGTCTTCGATCAAACCTACCTCAGCCACATTGTAGAATACGAAAATATATATGTAGTGAGTAAGTTGGCCTACTTTAATCATAACTTAGGGGTGGATATTTCAGGCGGGGCTGACTCACACTCACGTTCTACTTGGGGTAGTAGCTGAGTGGCAACTCCATCGAGATCAGCGATCTTAGTGTTGCTGATATTGGCATTAGTAAAATGACTATCTACTTATTGAGACCAGACATCAAAATTATGACTATTTCTTTACTGCTGATATTTGTCTTTGAAAAAAAAATGTCGTAGGGTTAAGTGCTTCTTATTTACAATAGTATCTTAGAGCATTATTTAGTATCGTTAAAGCGGCGTGACTAAACTGTTTACGTCATGCTAACCCTGATTCTTGTCTTTGCCTAACGTGAATTCCCCTTCATATGTAAATAGTATTGTTTGTTTTCGATTGACGTTCTAACGTTCTTCATGTTTTTGTTTTTCAGGTAATGTCAATTGCTATACACGGTATACATCTTTTATCTTCAACACAGCAAAATCGATTTTATATGCCATTTGGAGCGTTACCTCGAAGAGTGTTAGTAACATAATATGGAGTTGGCTAAACTTACGTTAGGGAAATAAGAAAATTTACCCACTTCGAAAACAGTAGCTATATTCGACCTTCGGCATTCTGTCTGCACTTATTCCTAGGTCTCACCACCCCACCCCACCCCCCGCCCCCCACACCCACACCCACACCCACACACACAATCTAAGTCTAATCCACACCAGTTAACACTTATAATATCTACACGTTTTCAAAATATGTGAACAAAGGTGGCTCTTAGAGTAAAAATAATTAAATCATTCTTATCTACAAATATTTGAGGTATTAATAGTGACAATTGTGGTGTTCGTCATCGCAGCCCTCGAGCAACTTCCGAAACCCGAAGCCCACCTCATGAGGGTGCCATCCACGTCGACTACTACATTAGCACCTACAAATGGTACAACTACAGTCAATATATTGCAGGAAATCTGTGTTGCCAGCAAATTGCGCAATGCTTTTCCCTCCATTTGATTAACCCTTTCTTTGAGCCACTGTTGATTCTAACAAAGCACCTGCGCCTGCTTAACAAAATGTCGATGAACGTGACGGCACCACCACTATTTTCAAAAGCATGTTTGACAGTGGTAGGCCACCCTTTTCCTACTAGGCCCTCGTCATATCTACTGGGATCGCCTGTTGCATGATAGAAGCGCCGTTGTCAATAGGTACGCGGGAACATACTCTTATTTTTTTACCCTGACTTTCTTTTCGCCTTTTGTTATGTAACGCTGCCGAGTACCCGTTATCCGCATAGCCTTGTGACCCTTTCTGTTTTGCCTTCTTCTTGAATATGGGCAAGTTTTTAAACTGCAAGATCTATGAGCTCTTCGTTTATTAATCAATACAGGCTCGATACAAGCTACTCGTCGACTGTCGAAACATTAAAACAATCCTATCTCCTATGATTTTGAACATTTGCTTTTAGTTACTTTGCTTGTTTGGCACAACCCGACTCAGTAGCGACTAATGTTGCGCGGTCGTTTACGTTTTATTCAGAAATTGTAAAACACACAAGTCGTTCCACCTATCTCTGCAATCTTCCTTTCGTTTATAAGGTGTTATTTGGCGCCTCGTACTGATAGCCTGTCTAGTATAGAAGATTTGTTTTTTTCTTTTTGTTATTTTTCCGCCCATTGGCGCACAGTAGACATAAATAAATTTCTGTCGACTGACATTATCCGCGTTGGTCATGTACCAGTTTAGAATAAACTTTACCATTTCGCTCGGTGTATTGTGTTTATATATGTGTATATATATGCATCTATCCTTACGTGGTACCATCATTATTTGTGGTTGATACGTTAGCTAATACATGTGTAGGTAGACGTGCCGCCGCCTTTTAGGGTTAGTACTAATTGAAGAGGACCGTCTCCATTAAAAAAATCGGTAGATTAATTAAGCTTAATTTCTTGGAAACAAATATTCCGAACCACTTGCGATGATATACATGAAATGGTGGTAACGTTCCGCTGATTCAAACATTATTTAGGAACACACAGGTCGAAGTTAGTTAGATTGAATGGATCAAATCTCTGTTGGCAAGAAAATATTACAAACTACTGTTCTAACTAGCCTTACTCTTAGTTTTTTAAGTTCGTACGAAAAGATGTTGAAAATATAATAAGTCTGCCTATAACTGAATAGCCAATTATCCCTATATGTATTTCATCTAACTATAACTAGATCAGTGCAAAAAAGAACAACTAACTTTCAAAGGCTGAAGCTGCTTAAATTATTGCCACGAAAACTTTACTTACATTACTAAGTATATTTTGAATATATTTTATTTCTACTCGAAGTGTAATGTTTATTTATTATCTATGGGCAATATAATTAATAAACAATTTAGGAACGAGTTCATCTTGGCAAGGGTTACGTTAAACACGCACATGTTTGCCCATCCATCCATCCATCTGCTCACGCAGTGCCGCGTGACCTCTTTAGTGTGTGCATTTTATAATAATGTATTGTTGCTCAATTCGGAGATAAACGCTTATCTTCTGGCTATTGGTAAATTAGATATATAGAAAAGTTCGTTTTCCTCTTATGATGTCCTAATATTGGAAAAAAGCATACCACGTTAAAAATAGATCTTCCTCCCCCACAGGAACACTGGATAGGTAAACTGGTCCTTATTTTATAAGGTGTACGCTATCTCTCCACGGAAATTGGCTTAAATGCTTCGTTTTGCAATGAATGTAGTAACGAGAGACGAATGGCTGATCGACTTTGCAGATTGTGAGTCTATGGACAAGTGTAACCTTACGGACGCAGTGCCCGGCAACGACGGTCCGAAATTCAGTGAAATGGGTCAGCAGGAAAAACTCAAAGTCTGCAGGTAATAACAATATTTGTATTGAGAAACTATCCGTATATATTATTACAGCTATAAAATAGAGTTTCGTTATCGTATGGCTATTTGTTTCTTTCTCAATCGTTCGTTTGCTACGCCTAAATTTGACAGATTCAGGAAACGATTTAAAAGCAGCTTCGAATAGATATTGCTGACCACGAGCCCAGCAGAAACGTTACTTGACGCTATGTTTTACCAATGTTTATTAAAGAATCTTGCTAAAAGTTACCGCATTATACACCCAACTCTGGTAGGGTCTAGTGGAAACACCTACTCCTGTGAACCTGTCAAGCTAATGGCACGCTGCTTCTGGAATCACAGTATCACAGTTTGCAATCTATCCCTGTATCCGATAGAGTGACGCGCGCATATAAGGATAGAAAATCCTTCTAGTTCCGGTGCACTTTATGCCCTGTATAGAAGGGCTACCTAGCTTCGTGATGTTCTAGAGCGCCACCGGAAAATTATTTTTTATACTATTCGATCATATTAGTTTGAAATAATTTGCAAAGTAGTTTTAGCTAGCGATCCTATCGAAGGTGCGACCTTTGTCTTAGCTGAAAACAATAGAAGATGCCAAATAATATTTTTCTAACCCCGAGAGGCTTGTACCCACTTTTTTACATCAGACGTCACTGATTCGATGTACTCAAGTCATCGTCTCCTCTCCATTTCAGTGGTAGTGAGGCCGTAATTTACCATAAATACGACAGGCATGCATGGAACACAATGGACTCTATAAATTGAATTTTATTTGTGCCATATAGAATATCGATAAATCTAGCTGTTTTTTGTGAGCAAGATATTTGGAGCCCTCCTAAAAGACAGTACACGCCTGTAGGAGTTACACTTTCTTCAACTAAACAAGTTATAGTAACCACCAACGTTTAGTTTGCGGTAATTATCAAAACGTCTGATGTGAATAGTTGTTCCATATGTAGGTAGAACTTTTTTTGCGGCTTAAAATACCACTTTAGTCAGAAAAATACAACGCACACAATGGGCAGTCGTAGCGGTTTTTCTACCCTTTTGTGCTGCATACTCTGTCTATCGAGTGTTCAGCCATGTGGTACTCGGACGCAAATGATTTCGAAGGTGTCTGCACTGCCATATGTGCCTTTCGCCTGTATCAGGACTATGCTTCATGTCAGACCACTACGGTTAGGACAGAGGGTAAAAGAAGAAACCCACAGGCTGTTCTCTATAGGGTCGTGTATATACATAGTTGTTAGCAGGGATACGGACGAACATCCACAGCACGCAGACGGACAACTTCGGATAATCGTATCCGAAGTTTTGAACATAGATTTGGAAAATTTTTAGGACATAATTTTATGAGCACAGACAAAGACTGATTTAGTGTGCTATGTTTTTTTATTCTGGCTGTACTAAAGGGCTTTGAAAAAAGCCCTTGACTGTTCGAGCCTGTTCTATTGCGACCGATTGACCCGTCTCTTCACCGGTGGAGAGCGATTCTTCAAGCGGTTCTGCACTAAAATCTGTAAGTAAAACAATAACAGAACAAACATTGTTAACGAATAAACTAATAAAACGTCCTTTCACTAATTTATTACTCACTCATAAGTACCCATTTATCCACGGTCGTCAGATGCTTTGCAATTGTTGAAGCGCCTAATTAGGTGTTGCAATTCAGAGTGGTCCGTGGCGGAGATAACTGGGAGATTCGTTGCTCATTTGCTATATATTTCGTCAATAGTAATAATTTATTACTATTAGTATTATTAAATATGTTTATTATTTATTTGTTTTCCAATGATCGCTAGTTACCTAGTGACAGAGTAAACGCTCAAAGCAATGGCCACTTATACCTGTAATTTGCCCACAACACTAAGGCATACATTGGCGCATAGTACCTTGTCACTAGCAACCTCTTCACATACAACGCTCTGCAACTTACCGTACGCGGCCGTTTCGTTGAGAGATCTTGGCTTTCGCGCACAGAAACGCTGCCCCTTACAACGCATCAAAGGAAGAAGCCGATCGGCACACAGGCCGAAAATAAATTCGGGAACACGTATAGAGTTACGACACAGTGCACCAGTGTTCCGTCCTTTTTAAAGTAAAACGAGTCAGGCTTGCTGAGTCCTCCAAGATGGCGTTCCTCAGCTTTGCAAGACACACTTGGTGGGTAATAACTGTTTTGAAAAAGGTGGGACTCAAGCATTTGTTTGCAAGGAAGCGCTGCTGCCACACGAAGTCCAGTCAGATCGAGATTGTGAATAGTATACATAGATAAATTGAGCGGATGGCAAACATAGCATGGGGCTTGCGCCATTTACAGATTGTTCAAAAAATGTATGCGGTAATGAGTAGTTAGCGCTGTAAAACTGTCATTCTAGAACAATAAAGTATATTCTCATAGAGTCTTTGCATAACTTTTTTTTTTTAATGTTAATATCCGTTGACATATTTCCTTGTAATACTGCTTCAGGTGTAGATTTTGTTTTTCAATTGAAACCTCATTGTTTTGTTAGGTAAGGGCCTCACGCCGTGGGGCGGCCGTTTCAAACTGCAAGCCTATTCCCGCCTGTGCTGATTTATGTTTTCGTTTGTTTGTTATGAAATAAAGAAGCCTCTAGTCACGAGTGCCGCATTTTAACTATTACTGTTATTATTAGTAAGTTATATTCTGTAGCAGTTGCAGGGCCCGCGTTAATGTTACATGTGACTGATTCGGCCCGTAAGTTACAAGTTGAAATATCTTATTAATTTCGTTGTTTGTACGTGTATCTGGTTCTCACAGTCCATGAAAATGGTCTTACATCAGATAATTGCGTAAGGAGTGTCCACACTGAAGCTGTTGACAGATGCGCGCTTCACTTAGAGAAAATGCAACAATTGGCTAACCACGTTTCTCCAAATGAAGAGGCTGTGCAACAGGCATGCTGGTAAGTTGTTTTTCCATGTACAGACTATCTTTATTGTTAAATACGTTTAAAACAAGGTGACACTCGAGATCAGTCAATGCATAGTGTCCGATGAAAAAAAAGGTACTTCAATGATAAACAATTGTAAAATTCAGTAGCTGTAAGAGTTAACAGGCGACTATACAGATATGCTCAGCTGTCCCATGCTGAACTGTTTTGCTAGTAATTTCCCGCTCTGATCGACTCCTCACGCCGACAGAGTAGCAATTCACAGTAATTTACCCCTATGCACATAGATATCGTACGGTCAGACTTTTTTGTACCATCGACGTCGGCTTTCGATGAAGCCGAAACATGCGGTAGCGTTGGAATTGTAAAAATGTCCCTAGTTTTTTCATGCGCTACAGCTTTAACGAGCAGTGGCAATACCAACATCAGGGTTAATAACTACAAAAGGCTGTAAAGTAGAAATCATTATAGAAATGTCAACAACAACACGGAAGCACTAATAGATAATCTAGAAATCATCCGAAAGCCTTTTTACTTGAAAAGCCACCGCCGCCGCCGCCGTCGTCTATGTAAGTTTTCTATACATCTGTGCCACCTCATCTGTGATCTGGTCGACGGACGCCAACTCCTTCCTTACGCACGATGTTTGTCCAACTGCGGACAACAATATTGTGGGGGCAGTGTGAATTTATATCGTAACTCATTTTATTTTTTTTCTCTCTGAGTCTAGCTTCTTAGCTTGCTCGGCGAAGATGTGATGGCACATACGTTGATTACTAGGGCTCTTTGTCATTGCATTTGCAGAATGAAGGCCTCTACAAATCATCCTAGTGTTGGCTTCCATTGCTTCACGCATAAACGACCCAAGAGAGAGAAGCGCATACACACAAACGTCTGAATATTCAGCTGCGCCATAATCATCTGTCTGATCAGCGCGTTGGCCGATGTGTACCTGTTACCACCTTGTCGTTGTTTACACATTGATGGGCTGTACACGTTTACGTGGTGAAAGGACACACAAAGCAAACAAATGCGCGCACGCACGCACGCACGCACACACAAAGGCGACTATGCGTTTGAAAAACAACAATGACACAACAAACGTATCGATTCTGTTGTTGCTTTTGGCGATCGGTTGCTCCTAAGAAATCACTGAAAGAAGCAGCGGTCTCCTTAAGAGCGGAAGCGCAAAAAAGACGCACTGCTGGCTGCAGTGTTTGGAGACCTTTAAATCATTGACCTTTCAGGAAAGATAAGAAACATGAAGCAGAAAGAGAAGGAGTAATAAGCGAGAGAGCTATAGGGGGGAAGTCGGCATACAAAGGTTGAAGATCTCTGCGACACCGGCGACAAACAGCGTCGACGGTGATCGATGAACGACATTCACCCACTAAATATGCTAAACAAATGGACCCATTGCGGTCATATAAGGCTATTCAGAACTGGCTGAAGGTACCTGTCGTGGTAATCCGTGGCCGCTGAGAGAACCAGAGAAAATAACAGTGCAGAATAGTCACTTGCTTTTGACTGTTACGGCAAATGAAGAGTTGCTGTATCAGATGCAGACGAAGCGGCCGATTGTCGATGATTTGCTAGTAAGAAGGGCACAAGAATGAACTGAACAAACCGGATCATCTTCACCGACTCTAATTTCCATTCTTAGCGCTACGAATCCCTTGTTACGATTGGACCACAAATATACGGTGCCATTATTATACGTTCTTGTTCTGATGTATGTTATCCTGGACCTTCTTGTCATTGCACCGATAAGCCCAGTAATCGAAGTGCATCGACTACCCTCATTGGTTGCTTGTTTCTTCGACATGAGCTCAACCAATATGCAACAATGTATTTATGGCTTGATTTTTGCTAGAAAATAAAGATAATATTCTGTAGAAAGAGCCCTTTCAGCAATTGACTGTTCATTTATTTAACTGCATAACTGATATGTATAACTGCAGAAACAGAAACATGTAGGACTGTGACAATCGTAGAAACAAAGATGCGTTTTTCCTATTTCATTAATACATTTTATTTCTACATATCTCTTCCAGTGAGCACCGTATGTATACCGATTGCTACCGGCGTGAGGTCAGCGCGAGGTGTTCTGTAGATCTCTCGGATGTACCTCTGCACCCGGACCGCAAGGTTGACATGTACTGTTCAAAAGACTACACAAATGACCCCGCGGCGCTATGCCGAGAGCAGCGTCAGTTAAACTTCGATTCGGTTCAAGCCGGTATCTCGGCATCGTCTGCCCTTTTCACGCCGGGTAACAGTGGCTCTGCCGGCATCGGATTCGTAACGTGCTTCGCTGTTATACTTCTACGCGTCCTCGTTTAGAATTCTCGCAGAACATGTATAGAGTACCGCTATGAAATAGTACATGCCTATATATGTCGAACGGACAGAGAGCTTAATTTAGTAAAATATGAGAAATTAAATGAGGCGCACCTCATAGCGACATCCGTTAGTAACAACAACGATGATAGAAGAGTTCAAAGGGCAAATGAAAAAAAACCGGGTCGATCGGTGAATAGCCGATGAGTAGGCCACTTACGAAACGTTATGTCCGTATCCCTGTGGCGAAATGCCGGTAAAAATTCATTCTATAGTGATAAATGTACTCAACGTCAATATGAGTCGCACACTAGTCGAACGGATACGAAAGAACGAGAATAAACTTGCAAAAAGTTTAGTTGAGGTCGAAAAGGGCAAAGGGACATGCCGATAGACAATATAAACCTGAATAGGTCGAGTAAGGTCAAATAGGTAGCGTCGATAAGCGTGTTGTGAAATCTACACTGACACATTGTAAAGCTAACATTTACCAATACAGGTTGAAAGACCTTCGGTCAACTTTCGACCTTGCAACACCTAGCCCTGTGCCAATAATTGAAATTCAACAAAATTAAATTCTATAAGCCTTGCTTAAAAAGTTATTGGGACAGTAATTTTCACGTTCGATGTAACGTTTTTGCGGCCAATAGCGAAGAGTGGAATCATCAAAAAACCCTAAACCAGTAAGATAAGGCAACGAATACATAGAACTAACTGTACGTTAGATAAGTTAAAGTAACTAACCCAAGAATATGTGTTCTAGTTAATAGGAGAGTAGTACGATAATGCACAAGTCATTGTAACTATTAAAACCTAAGTAATAATCGATAGCTTAATATAATGACGAACGCGAAGCTGTGGGACTTGTTGAAGGGTGTATTTTTCTAGGGATTGACGAGCGTGTCCCTTTTCGGAGCGGTGTGGTAATGATGAATGATAGAACACGGAAAAACGAAAACGATCCAGGGTAAGAAACAAACCACGAGAGAGGGTGTAGGCGAAAAATCGGTTAGGCTAAATAGTAATAGTAATGATAATGATAGTAGGATGTTTTCAAAGCCGTTTTACAATTTACTGCCTAAACGAAGAACAAATTAAATAACAAACTGGGAGAAGTCTGAACAAATCTCCGTCCGGCTGTAGCTAACAACCGAGAAACCACATGGGTGCCGGTCGATACGAGCGCCAAGCCTCCAAATACTGAATGTACTATAGCCGTCCTATGGACGATATAGAATATGAAGGAAGAACGAGAGTTGAAGAATGAAGAAAACAGAGTTCTTTACTGTAAAATGTTACTATTATGACTTGTACTGTTGCTAGCTAGCTCTTGTAGTCTGTGAACTCCATCCATGCGACGATAATGATTCAAGCATGGCGTACGACATAAACCAGTCTGTAATCATTTGCCGTTTCTGTTGTACAGCGTCATAGATTAGTTGTGTTCTGTAAGAAAGGAGACAGTATCGGAACATGTAAAAATCAGTTGCAAAGTCAGCATGAGGTGACTCTACGAACGTAAACCTGACCGCTAGTAGATAGTAATCGGGTTCCACTGATTACACATGGACAGTGGCCACCTGCTGCAGCATTCATTTATATATATATATATGTATAAATGAATACCTGGTATCTGTAGGCCTAACTTGAGCTGTTCGCAAGCACCACACTGTATAGAGATTGCATAAACAGGAGCCACTGCGATTTCACGAGTACGTTGAGGATATTTGGTCTAACGAACATCAAAATTAGAGTAAAAACATATTCACAAAAATTCGCGTGTATGTATTAGAATCGAGAGAAAAATATCAAACACCAAAAAGAGTAGAAGGATCGATTAACAAATCTTGGCACGTCCCGAGCACTCCTACACATTTTACTGACCTTACCACGCCAGCAGAATTTCGAAAATAATCAAGTATCCTCCCTGAACCTTTCGCACTGGGGCCCATCATGAGGCAGTCGACGACAGCGAACTTTCGAGTGCTCAATGGTCGCGAGTAAAGCATTTCATGTAAAAATATTTGGAAATGGTCCCTTTTCTGCCCGTAATAACCATGATATATCTTTAAGTTAGTACGATCAATCAGTCTAGCTATTTTCTATATTGCTCCTATTGACCTTGATATCGAAAAAGGAAACAGAAGGAAAAAAGAAAATCAAACGAGCAAAAGGTGGAAATATGAGAGGGTCTGAAAGACAAGGAGACAGACTGTACTACTTTGAAGCGGTGGAGAACATGAGCAATTGAAACTGAGCTAACCGATATCATTATTGCCTTTACCACTGTGACGTTATTATTATTACTCGAGAAAGAGCCGGGCCGCAAAGTGACGTCCTTGACGTTGAATCGATCACGTGAGTAACGTACGAAACAAAAGTTGGAAAGCTGAAATCGAACGAAAAAAAAAAACAGAGCACAATACCAATAACAATATCAACAGCATGTTACTATAATGGTTAGTAGTGTTTTTTTGGCTAAGTTCTGATGTTGTTGAATGTGCCACAATAAACCCTAACAAACAATAATAACCAAACGTATCTCTAATTGCGTCTTGAGTTGTAGGTGCCACATTGATAGGTTAGGTAGTATATGTTTGTTTGCATTTTCCCTTATATTCCTTGCTAGCGGATTACAAAGTATCAGCGGCACAAGGCTAGGCTGACAGACTGACGAGCCGATATAAGCAACCGCTTACTCAATGCGAAGCTGCATTACGTCTCTCCATTGCTTCGCCGTACAGAAACCGACGTTCATTGCTCCCGGAAAATCTGACATGCGTTTGAAGTGTGTCGACGTATGGGTGGGCTTTTTCCCAACCGTTTGGTCCTATCGCGGAGCACAAGCACTCGGTGCAGCGATTTGTGATCAGTTATTATTATAAATCTAGAGCACCAATCCTCTCAAGGGTCGGCAACGTGTTCGAATGTGCCGCATCATTTCAGCTCATCGCTACCTGGGTTGGGCTGGCCTTCATTTCGATCTGATGCTGGGTGCCGATATTTCGTTCGCGTTCGATCAGACAGCCGGCGGCTAAATGCTAGAAGCCTCGCTATCCGCTTCAAGTAGTTTGTAGACAGCCGGTCTTTAAAGCGAGCAGCAATATTTGCCTACGACAGCACAAGCTCGAGCAGCGTTGCTGGTGATGGACCAGCTCTCATGCGACACTTTCGATGACCCTGCTGATACGAACAGGCACTTTGCCTTGAAGCGTTCGATTCGTCGTTCAATTACAATCGCCGACCTTCCTTCCTTACGAATATACCGTTGGCCATCGCTGGTCAATAACAGTGTTGTGAGAACGTGAACGGATGATCCTTGCGTAGGATAGCCAGCGCGCGCTGTGCCCTAGCAGGCAAGCCGACGACGATAACGGGCGTGCGGTAAGAAGTCATAAAACGTACCAAGCCATTCTCCGCGCATCAAATACTATACTCAAATCTTGAAGATGACGTCAGAAAAAGCAAGATAGTGACGATGTCGATTTCTTGAGATGCGGCCAGCCACAGAGAAGCCGGAACTGCTCCTGCAGCAGCAACAATAACAACAAACAGGTAGTTCACGTTTCGACAAAACCCCGTACACGTAATAGAGGACGGGGGACTATGCACCGCTAATGGATAACGATACTCTAAAATTAAAAATTGCCCACGGCGTTACGGCCCTTCGTGTTACAGGTAAAGCGTGTGATGTATATATATGTATACTCAATGATGCCCCGCCATCCAAACGATGCTGATAATGTCTATTTCGTACTAAAGCAAATACTATAGTCAATAGCCATAACTTCATTCATTCGTAGGATAGCGCTGTAGTTGTCGTAGTAGATCTATAAAGAAAGCAAAGGGCATACGAGCATACGGTCGCATTTGACAATAGTTTCTATTTGAAGGTCTACGCCGTAAGTGTCAGATCGCTCAAAGGCGATAGGCCAATGCGGATTACTGGACTTCAACTATGGATTGATTTCTATCGCGGTTCACTAACACTAGAAACAAAAGTTCACTTGCTTCAAATCAATCATGTGCTCATTATAGAATTGATCTAACTCTTAGGGAAATTGCTACTAATACTGTTTTTTATAAACACTATTTTCACTTACAATCCCTTCACACACACCCTGATCACAGTTATTACAATAAAAATACCACGAGGGTACCTAAAAAACTACATTTTTAAATTCTTAGAGATCGCAAGTAGTCAAGTGCTTTGCAAAATTATGTTTGTTGTGGTGACAAGCAAGGTCGCATGCAGCTCCCTCTTTGTGGAGGCTCTCTCTTACCTGGGAAAAAACCGATACGGAGTTCTTCTTTTCGGCCAGGAACGCGTGAAGGATGTCCTCCAACTCAGAAATGAGGTGAACATGACTAGGACTCAGATCAGCTGTAGCACGGAAACATGGTGTCGCCTCTAACTCGCCCTGGCCATCCCATCGCCTAATGGCCACAGGCTTTTCTTTTTTCGATGCCTGTAGTAACCAGTAGAAAATCTAAATCAAGCAAGTAATAGCCGCAGGACAAAGGAACAGCCATCATCTGCCCACTCTGGATCACTATACAGCATGGCACGCATAGAACAGAAGGTAGATTCAAAACGTATATGCCGTCATCCGTTAAACGATGATTGGGAAAAGACAGCTGGCTTAACCAGTCGCTCTTTCGGTATTCTTTTGGCTTAAAGAATTGGCTGGCGAAGACTTCTTTTCTAGAAAAAAAAAAACAAACGGAAGATCTGTTTCAATTGTATTTTCGAGATTGTCACTCTTTCTGTGTTCGATACAAGCTGAGATTACAATGAAACAATATAGTTGACTTTCCTCAAGCTCCAAAATGTGGAGTATGTTTATAGATACTGACGTCAATGACTAACGCGTCATTTCAAACAGCAAGAACTACTAATGGATCGTAACATTCTATGAATAACAAGCGACCGTAACATAAGGCCACCATGAGCAATGATGAATGATGTTGGTTGTGCCTTATCGAGGGATTTCGATTCGTCCTGCGGACCCAGTGAGGGGTCTGTAAGACAGCTGAAGCGAATCGTTTGTAGCTCTTCATAAGCTAATGTCATTTTATTTGGATCGCTAGCATAATATGATGCGTATACTGAATAAGAAGCTGCTGCTGCTGGCCACTGTTTTTTCAGAAGCAATATCTGTTTCCTTTTATCTTTAACCGTTTTTGACACGAATTATTATAACGTAACACTGATATGATGCCCGTGACAAACTCCAAAAAATTATAATGTTATTTTCAAGTCAGAGGCTCCCGCGTTTAACGTCATTATAACAAACGACACGGTAACGGCCTTCGAATAGCGATATAAATGCCCAACCAAGGCGACGAGCAATAGGCCATAAACAATGGATCCAAACTCCGTTCTCAGTTATTAGCTCACTACGGCTGATGGCTTCAGTGTACCACGAAAGAAAGTATATGATGTCTTTATCGGTGAGAATAGTACTCGTTTAGGCGTCCTCAACTCTATCAACCAGGCAGATTCATTCTGTAAACCGTTATGTCGTCCCGTGGATTGCTAACATACAAATGGGTAGAACACCGAGTACCCTTTATGCATAGTTATATGAACAAACGATGGGTCAAACGTAGTGATCGACTTCTCGCCCAGGTTGTAAACAAACTTTTTTTGTGAAAGAAACCGGCAAAAGAGCCCTTGCCCTTACAGCTATGGGGTTCTCATAGAAAAAGCATGTTTCTTTTCGAAAGCCTGTTATCATCAGTGTCGATCATTAATCGGGCCCAGCCTACTTAGCTTTTCCACCAGGGGATGCTTAAAGGACACTCACGTCTCTCATCTACCCACCTCGATTAAAACATAGATCCAGATCGAGATTCACATCATTCTATCACCCTAATATACAGTCAATGAGTGTCTGCGGACTTTTTTGGTCAAAGCAACTTCCTACAAATGCATAAATCATATATGCGCTCTGAATAACTGTATGATTAATGCAAACACAGAACACGCAAAGTAAGAATGCCTGTGATTATATGAAGATGAGCATATTGGTTCTACCGAACGCATGCATTAGTTGGAACAAGGACGTCACACTGTTTGTGCATCACAGACGGCATCATTGGCCTAGATTAACAAGGAAGTGGCATAAATCAAGCGGCCATAAATGTCGAAGTATGCTGTGAGCCTTTTGTTTTTATCAAACCAAAACGTCCTCGAACATCAGACACGGCTAAAAGGTATGATTGGCACGAGACAATCTAGGACGACGTGCAATTCGTGTAGTTTCATCTATGGAAAAATCACAAAGTCATTCCAGAGTACGACAGATCTGCTCCACATCCAAAGTCCAGTGTTCAGCTGCTGCGGAACCAGATCCTGAAAAATGAAAATGGCGATTCGCATCGTCCCTTGAGGGGTCCTTGTCTGCGAGTAATTAGCCGATCACACCTAGTCAAAGACGCTAATGCAGAACCCAGATGGTTCGTATCAACCTAGGTATTAGAACCCTTTATGCAATCACTGTTCTTAAAAGCTATGAAGCACAATAACAACTATATCAACTTCAGTCATTGTGACTAAGCTAGAACTTAACCTTTTACTGGATTGTATTGTATAATATTATATCTAGAATATCATACTAATGAAAGTAGGCCCCAACAAAAACTGTCCGCCTTTGACAGAAAATTCAAACTAAATCATGAGCGTGATGGTCACTTCTATATAGGTAAATATTACCAACCAGATTTTCTATGGCCAATTTCTGGAAATTGCTATATACCGTCATAATGGCATTTGTCTAATCAGTTTTGTTTGTTACTTTTAGCCCACCACTATTAAATCCAATGAAATTGAGTCTAAATAACATTTTGTCTCAAAAATCAACCCTCAGTATAAGTCTTTGCTCTTTGAAGGCCACAGCGCTGCGAAAATTTATTGATGATTGGTGAAGATATTACGCCAGGAGGCCTTGAGCGAAAGCAGAGTGTACGAATGGCGCAGACGTTTTAAAAATGGAAATTGGAATAAAAATCGAGGAGGCTTTTAACGAAAGAACAACTTGAAGCCCAAAGGCCAAAGTCTGCGTCTGACATATAACAGGTCACAAAATTATAACCCACATTTGAGCATGTGGAAACTAAGTAGCAAATGGGCCCCCCGTAAATTGACTCCAGATCCGTTGAAAATGCGTGTGGTGTACTCCATGCGCAATTTGCGGAACTTTAATCCACAAGGAACCCGGTTGCCATACCCGAAGCACAGTTCGATCTCTACCGCTAGCAGGAAAAGGACTAGGCCAGAGAATGATGTTGCCGTTAGAAGAATCGGATTCGCCCGCAGTATCGAGTAGGCTCGAACGTAAGTTGTCGGTAGAACTTGTAATATACATCAGAAACATCTGTTACTATTAGGAACTCATCGAAAATGAAACAGCGTATATAGCCCGCTATTTCGAGTTCGTTAAGAGATCGTTAACATACAATCTGGTTACTGATGTGAAGTATATTTTAGATAGATATATAGATTTATTTCCAGATTCGATAAATAAATAATGAAAT